ATCCATGTCTTATCCATGTCTTAATTAAGCTAAACAAAAACGGTCAAACTTTCACTCTTCACAAGTAACCCCTATGGCGAATTCAATTCACAAAGTTAGTAAGTACCTCACTTAACGATAGATAAATATATGAAATTAAAATTGTAAGAAATCTCTTTTAAATAAAAAGATGTTTTAAGTTTGAACTTAATTTTTGATAGTCTTGTTTAAAATTTTTATTGTATGTGTAGTAGATGTGTCAACAAATATCAAAATACAATGACTAAAATTATGAGTCCACGAGGAAAGATGATAATACAATTTATATGTAATAATTACTATTCTAAGCAAACAAGAGCTTTGTTTGAAAAATGTTTTGAACATAAAAAAATATAAAGTAAAAATAACAATGATAGAAAGTTTTTGGGGGGTTAGGATGTAATTAGTGATTACTATGATTACAGTTATATCAATATCAATTATACACATTTTATCCCTTAATCCATATTTTCACTTCACTATACAAACTCAGCATTTAATTTCAGCAGATTCACACTCTTAACTATACAAACTCAGCATCTAAGCTTACTACTACTAAGCCATATGCTGGATGTTAAACAATATCTAAAGAGCAATATTAGAGACATTGATTGATCTATCTATTTCAAGCATATTGAAAAGAAATTCAAAAAAAGATATATAATATAATGAAAAAGTAAACTATTTTATTTGATCATTTCTGTATGTTTTTACCTGATGATTTATTTTGATTTAGGTGGCATCGGGAGCAGCTCTATGGTTCGAAAACTTGAAACAGATGAAATTGATGCTGAAATGTATATTCAGCCTGGAAATCCCTATTTTTTTGCGAAATACTATCATTACAGACCCAATGAATTGGTATAATTGTTTATAATTGTGTATTTAGTCCATTTACTTACAACTATTAAATATGGCATGGCTGTTTTGTTTTGCAGCATATACCAAAAAAAGTTATTAAGGATTTCTGCCTCTGCTTCACAAAACATGTCAACCTTATATGTTGCAACTGCAAGGTATGATTTTTGCATGTCTACTTTTATTGATTTGTGTTGATGAGTAGAAATTAAAGTTTGGTGCACCCTTTGTATTTTGTTATGACAGGATATAGAGAGCAATGAAATAGCATCTTATCATGAGAAGTTGCCCGAAATGACCACAAAACATAGCAAAAAGAGAGGAGAAATACGTACATGGAAAAATGGCCGAGTGTTTGTGCTGGGGTGGGAAAATTTTTGGGCCAAGTACAAGATTAAAGAAAGTGATAGCTGCTTGTGTGAAATTGTGTTGCATCAAGAGAAAGCAATAGAAATGATAAGGGTGCACCTTGTTAGGAAGGTTAGGAATGAATGAAGAAAAGAGGGAACGCTATTTTAATGTTAACTTCAAATTTGCTTATTTCTGTCATGTGTGTTTTTATTATTTTCTTATGAAATGCTTTCTCTCTAGACTTTCAAACCATTTTTACCTATGTCTCATTGTATAATTATTAAACTTGCACTATTAAACAATTTGTCATGTTCTGCATTGGAAGAAAACAAAGCACAATGAATGATATTGATAATTTTGTTGATCAGAATTGAATTGGGAACCCTGCTAGCATTATTTGATTTCTTCGTAATGACTGTTATTTATAATTTTGTTGAGAAAAGTTTGGAAGTTTACTTGTTTACTGACATTGAGGTTGTTGAAATTATGAGCCAAATCGTGCAATCATACAAAAATTTAGTTAAGACAACTCTAAACTCGAATTTTAACAAACTTATAAAATGAAATAGATTTAGCCTTTACTCCACTGAATTCATAGTGAATCAATACACTCTAGTAACCTTGCACGAGATTTTAATAAAATTACCTCTCTTTTTTATCTCAGTTTTCACATTAAGTTCATTTTCTTCTTTGTTAACTTGATTTTGTTCATGTCAATTATATATTTTATAATTGAGACGAAAATTAAATTATTCATGCATTTTTATATTGTCAATTTATATATATCGTAGGTTAAACTTGTAGTAGTCGCGTTTACAAGTCAATTTTATATAGGTAAAACTGATTTTCATAAACTCTTGATTTTAACAACTTTTTGCTGCCTATTCAAGCTAAAACAAGGTAAACTACAATCAGCTTTGCATTATAAATACAACATCTAGTTTAGTGTCGTTTGAGCTGCAAGCTATCAGTTCTATACATTTAACTTTATTTCTTGTGAAATTAACAAGACATCTTAACTGAACCTCTCACAGCATGACCAGAGGTTTTCTCTTACATCTGAAAAAATGGTTTCCCTTTCAAATAAATGGTATGTTTTAGTTTCATTATACTTGAGAACCTGGTGTTCATAAGTAATGGAAAAATCTAAAATACATCGAAAATATAACATGTTTTGCACTTGCACCTTGCATATATATCCAACAAACATTCCACATCCACTAATTAACCGTCAATGTTTCCCTATAAAAATAACTTTGTTTCATATTTTCTAAATAATTCAGACTACAAAATATCATATCGAAATCAAGTCTAAAGAGGTATGTTTCCTATAACCAAAACTCTAGAACAAATCAAAATCCTTGGTATTCGAGTGTGGAAAAGGCATCGACTTTCCTACTCGCCTAAAAACTCTATACCAAATGGTACAAATAACCTCGTAAAAAATAAAGAGGTAATTTGTTGACTTCTCTTGCCCACTGCACGTTGAAAACCCTCCAAAACTATAATCTTAGAGGATTTTGCGCCTTAGTAAGTTTTGTCTAGTCGACAACTTATCTTAAAACAACTGTCAAGAGAACACAACAACTTTAAAATATGCTCAACTATTCTTAAAATCAAGCGAATACTTGTCTGTGATACACACCGAGGTATCATTGTGTCCAAGCCACACTACCTAAATCATTTTCATTACCTAAGTTATCTTTCTAAGTCATTCACTTAGTACAAATCTAGATTTAACTTCACTTTTCATCATAGTTTTTGCTCAATTATCATTCAATAAACACAAACAACAATTCATAATATGATTCAAAAACACACATAACCAATTCATTACCAATACCCAAACATTAGTCATGGCTCAATCATGATTTCTTCTCATCAATTGACGAGGCATTTGACTAACTTTCTAATATATTCGACCTCACAATAATCAGATATGATTCTTGTTTTATGGTGGACACAAGGAACCAATCCATTGCATAAATCATAAGCATACATGAAACACACATGATAGTCTAACATATCCCTATAAACCTTAGGCAGAGCCATCATATGACTCGTCTCATTCTAACTTATTCCACTTTCACGCCACATAGTAAGCGCCTATCGAATCATCCTATGATGGGGTTAACCAGACTCAACGGGAAAAGTAAATTTAAATAAACTCATGGAAACTTATCTATGTAATATCCCTCAGTGTTAGCTTTTTAACGCTTCCGACCGCGTCCAAAATAGAGTTATGAAACTCAAGCCACATCATTTTCAATTTGGTAATTTTCCATATGGTCAGTGGTAATCGATTACCAGTATGTGGTAATCAATTATCAGTCCTCAAAATAATCCAAAACCCAATTTTTAAGCTGGTAATCGAATACTACCAAGTGGTAATTGATTACCACAACAACTAGGCTAAAAATACCCAATTTTCTACATACAAATCATTTCTAAACCATCCCCATCAACCCTAACCATATTCTAACATTAGTGAAATCCACATGTAAACTCTCAAGAATCAACAACAATCAAACATATCTCATGATTCCAACATAATCCAAAATAATTATAATACCAACACCACAACACATTCAACATGAAATCACACAAGTAAGCATGTATCGTCATCAAGTTTCATGTTCATAACAACAACAACACAAACCCTAACTTCCCAACCATGGATTTTTCTCTCAAAGCTAAAATTTAACTATGAACTCACCTCTAGGAAGAAGATGATGATGAAATATTGGAGACGACTTGATGAAGCAAGCTCTTGATCCTTAAGTATTCCAAGCTTTTTTTCTTTCGAAGAAGACGATTGAGAACGGAGAACGATTGAAACGATTTTGTGAGTTTTCAACGATTAGGGATTTGGAAACGATTTTGTGAGTTTTCTGAGAATGCAAGATTTTGTGAGAATGCGTTTTCAGCAGAAATTAGTATAATTTTGTTTTAAAAAATTTTAATTGTAAAGAGGGTATGACAGCGCTTTTGAAAAGCGCTTTCGTAACTAAGGCTATACCAGCGCTTTTGAGGATAAAAGCGCTCTTGTACCCCACCCCCTATATCAGCGCTTTTGAAAGCGCTTTCATAAGCCCCCTATAAGAGCGCTTTCAGAAAGCGCTTTCATACCCCCCCACTATAAGAGCGCTTTTCAAATGCGCCTTCGTACCCCAGCCTCTAAGAGCGCTTTCTGAAAGCGCTTTTGTAACCCCCCCCCCCCCCCCCTTTAAGAGCGCTTTTTTAGCGTGTTTTTTTATTTTGTTTTAGCGCAACCTATACCAGCGCTTTTTACAAAAAGCGCTTTAGTAGGGGTGCTGCTAAAAGACAAATTTGGTGTAGTGGTGATTGTGTCTACTCGGCAAAGTTGAAACTCTATATGTTCAAATGACCTTTCTCATACGCTTATTATTAGGTCTTATTCGTGCGACTTGCATATACCAAAAAGGTTGATGAATGTTTTGGCAATCGGTCACTCCTCTATGCTCATAGTATTTCAAAAACTCACACCCCTTTATACATACATTTTTCCCCACATAAACCTACTTTTGATTTTCAATACATTAATTAACAAACCTTCGTACGACCAATTATTAATAATATCCCTTATTTGCTTATTTGAGTTTTCTATACTATATCTTGACCTTTTTCTCTCCAAACAATTCATTCATCACATCATATATATCCTTTGCTGCTTCTGTCTTTTGTCTCTCAATATTGTTTGCTTCACTTTACTTTTTTCCTCTCTTTTTATCCAGGGATCTTCTTATTCTTCTATGGCAGTTTTACCTACAAGTTCATCGAGTTTGGAATTGACCATATCTGTCCCAGGTTTTGCTTCTTCAGCAATCACTTTTCTCCCCTCATCATCATCATCTGGTAAGTAGCACACACAATACAAGTTTCATAGTTTCTATACCTTAATTTTGTATCGTTTTCTAATATCATCATCATCATCATCTTATTAAACATTTTTTGTCATATTTTTATCATGCTCTCTTCCTTTTTGTTAGGTCAATAAAGTTTGAAAGTATACATATATATATATATATATATACATATATATATATATATATATATATATATATATATATATATATATATATATATATATATATAATAACATGTGATTATAATATAAATTGGGTGATGTGTTAGTACAGGGAAAATTTTGGACATGAACCAGGTCGCCATAGAAGAAGAATGGGTGAAATCAGAAGAGGAAGAAGAAAATAGCGTTAATCCTCGCAAAAAACTCCGTCTAAACAAGGAACAATCTCGTCTCCTTGAAGAAAGCTTTAGAAAAAACCACACTTTAAACCCAGTATGTTAATCTCCAAAATCTTTCTTTTTGTGGGATGATCAATATTAACCATGTTCATAAGAGATGCATGCTATATTTATGTAATATGCAGAAGCAGAAAGAGTGTTTGGCAATGCAGCTGAGACTCCGACAAAGACAAGTGGAGGTGTGGTTTCAAAACCGTAGGGCCAGGTAAAGGCTAATCCCATTTTTGCTTCCACTTTCTCATTATGACTGATCCACTTCAAAATATATATTGAATCTTGACTCAAAATATAACAATCATAATTGTGAGATAGATCTCATTAATTAGCCAAATCAATTGGTGCCCTTAAAAGTTCATCTTTTTAGTGATTTTTTTCTTAAATTTATTACCACAATTATGTTCAGTTGGTCGATTCTTAGAGGAGCGAGATCATCTTGTGTAGAAATGAACCGAGAGCTAAGAAGAATTGGACCATTCTCAATTGGAGGTGGAGAAGGAGTTTATTAGCTTCAACGGGCGCAACAGCGGCGAGACTTGAACGACATATTTAGTAATCTTTAATTTTACTATATCTTCAAGAGTTAGTTATTTAGTCTATTCAAGAGAAGATCAGTGATCTCTGATTTTAGCGATGAGATAGAGGTTTCTTGAAAAAACGACGGAAATTAAGAGTCAATTGTCACATACGGCGTGACTATTTTGTTAAGGAACCACAAATGCGTAGTGAAACGATGACATAACTTTGGTGCAGTGAAACAAACTCCATATATGACGGAGATGGTTGAACCTCTAAGTTTAACACTACAATGTCTAAATTAGTAACTGGGCGAAAATTAATTTGAGAGTGAAAATGAATTGAATACCTGAAATGACGCGTTCTAGTCTTTATATAGTATAGACAGATAAAATTGTCTACATGTGATTCGATACCCCACGTATGTACTCGTTTGATTAGATATCAATAGTGAGAGATATGATGGAAGGCGTGATTGTGTCCTTAGCAGGGATGATGGTCTACCTGTTCGCTGAGTCTTTATCTTCATCACTTATTCGACATTCTTCATGGGCCTTGAGAATGGTCTTGTTACACTTGGATTTTAACTAGAAGAAAGTCAACAAAAAATATAAAAGTGAAAGTAGATTTGTTGTTAGAAGACATTAAGGAAGTGTTTTACATTAATGTAGTGTCTTAAGAGAATTGATAACGAAGCGTCGACAAGGCATCTACCATGGTGTCGATGAAGTGAAACATGGTTTAGAGAAATCTCAGGAACAAATCCACAAGATTAGGATCATCTGGAAACATGTCCAGAATCTTGAAAAGGGGAGTCAACAGGACCTTCACTGCAACAAAAGGTTGAAGACTTAGTTATTTTACAAGTTCAAAAGACCTTTGCAAGCAACGTCGATAACACGTTAGACAGTTACTCTCAGAAAGTTCGTGATGAATTTTGAAGCGGTTATAACTCAACATGAATTATAACCAAAGAGAATCGTGGGTGACACGTTGACACACTTGTGGGAACCTGAAGATCAAACGTGGAGTAAAACACTATAGTTATATAGTGGGTTGAACCGTCGTCGACGGTTATTTTGTAAATAGAATAAATAAAAGACTCATACATTATAACAAGGATCCCAAAATTTAATACATACTCTCCATACCACAGGAGTATCTGAGTCAAAGAGCGAAATAATGTGTGAGAAACATATATCACTACTACGAAAATGGGCTTTCACAGCGCTTTTTTTTGCCCTTTAAAAGCGCTTAAAAGCGCTGCCGTAGCCAGCGCTGGCGTAGGCTACGAAAGCGCTTTTTTCTGGCCAAAAGCGTTGTCGTAGGTGGACCTACCACAGCGCTTTTTCCTTAAAAAGCGCTTTGATAGGGGGGTCTTTCCCAGCGCTTTTTGAAAAGCGCTTTGATAGGTGTGCTATTTAAAATTTTTTTTTTTTATTTATCAGGCCTTTTACAGCGCTTTTTATGGAAAAAGCGCTTTGATAGGGGGGTCTTTCCCAGCGCTTTATCCATAAAAAGCGCTTTGATAGGGGGTTTCTATTTAATTTTTTTTTTTAATTTATCATGGCTTTTACAGCGCTTTATGGAAAAAGCGCTTTGATAGGGGGGTCTTTCACAGCGCTTTTTCCATAAAAAGCGCTTTGATAGGGGGTTTCTATTTAATTTTTTTTTTTTATTTATCATGGTTTTTACAGCGCTTTATGGAAAAAGCGCTTTGATAGGGGGGGTCTTTCACAGCGCTTTTTCCATAAAAAGCGCTTTGGTAGGGGGTTGCTATTTAATTTTTTTTTTATTTATCCTGCCTACGAAAGCGCTTTTTAGCCAAAAGCGCTTTCGTAGCTCATACAAATTTTTTAAAGTGAAACCTATAATTTGAGGTTCCCTGTGCGGCCTGTAATTTTTTTTTGGTCCAATAATTTAACCTGTAATTCAATCCTTATAATATTCACAGAAACCGGTATTATATTAACAGAAACCGGTATACCATATAATACATTTGTAACCATAACTAAATCCTTATATACATATGTAACTAAATCACATACAAAGTATATATACATTTGTAACCATAATTCAATCCTTATATACATTTGTAACCATAACTAAATCATATATAATTACATCGAAAATAATGCTCCACCGACACGGTCTTCATCCTGCAAAGTATGAATATGAACAACACGGTCAATTAAACAAACAATATTAAAGGCTCCAACACAATCAAACTAACACGTACAATAATATTTTATTCATACCCATCAGAATAATCTGTTTTCAACATAAAATTGACATATTTCCTCTTTGACTTCTTCCACTTGAACTTTCGTGTACGACATAGTATAGAGGTCATCAAAGTACTACATAAGAAATTATTACTTCAGTATATGCATGATGTTATTAAATGTAGAAATCATACAAAATTATTCTAAGTTATAAATCCATACCGTGCTTGGAATCTCTACTTGATTTTTATGAAGGATTTCTTTCATAAACCTCAAGCAAAAGTATCTGCAATCTACATCGTTATTCTGTAACGGACACTGCATAGAAAAACAGAATATATTTTATAGTTGTCGTGTAATTTTATCAAGTAACATTATTATTATAAGCAACTAATTTTGTACCTGCACTTTGATCCAAGTAATATTTGATGATTTACTCCGGGGTACCTGTGCGTCCCTTTGACTACGAAATATTTGTATTGATCTAAGAAAATAAAAACATATATTTAGATCAATCTCACAGAAATAATTAAATATATAAATATACACGAATAGTTAGAACGATCTCACTTACTGATCAACAGTTTCCTTCATAGCGGGATAGTTAGTCCATTCCCCGTCTACCGAATTCAGAAAGTACACAACTTCTTTAATCGGATCGATAGCCAACAACAACCAGTGTTTTCTAAAAATTTAAGCAACAGTTTAGAAGAAAAGTTTCTACGCAAAATAAACAAAGATATATTAGAATAAATGAAAAACTCACCCCACTGGAACAGTGTTATACGGCAAAATAAACAAGCTATCTGGGTTGCCGACGTAGGCCGTGTATCGATTCACTAAGTACTCCCTAACTGAACCCGGTTCCCTGACAATTGTCGCTCCGCTGACAATATGGGCAGACAAGAAATGGAAGCGTCTTGCCAATACAGTCTCGCGCATTTTTTTATCGTACAACAACCTTAAATAAAAACATATAAACATTAGACTATTTTCATTGAAATGTATAAATAAATTGTTCAACTAATTAAATGATATATTTATCGGAATACCGGATGTATGCGTGAACATTGCCGATGCCTAATTCACCATGCGTCATAATCTCAGTCATTTCGTCCAATCCTATCGTTTCTTGGCAGTCAAGACCAAAGATATCTGCATCCATAAGGATTGTACGAATACCACCTGACTTCAAATCTGAGGTTTCCAAAAGTACTCCAAGTGTATTCCGATATCGAGGTACAAAAACGCCTCTTCCCCCGCCTCTTCCCCCCTTATGCATTGACTTTTTCGGGGGTGGTCTGCTACGAACAGGCTGGGTCACTTGTTGTGACACTTTCGCAGATACCTAACAATCATATAACTTAGGTAAATTATAAAATCGTTCAGTTTTAAATTCATATCATATAATAAACAATTTAAGTGTACCTCTGGAATTGATGCCATAGACTCGCCGCCTTGCTGCAAAATCTCCTTACCCTTATTAGCGGGTTTTGTAGGAGGCTAATATTAAAAAATAATTAACTTAACGGTTCAGAATTGACATTTGAAATCTAAATGATTCATATTAACGGTTTTAAACTTACCTCATCATCAATGAAAATGAGGTCCAAGGGCCATGCAACAAACGACCCTACCGCGTCTCGCACCGATCTTATATCCAAGGCCACGTCAGGTACCGGTACCAACGCATCGGGATCAATAGGATAATCTACTGATACTCTCAGGTGTCCAGCCGGGATCGGTGTATTATGAATTAAATCTCCCAAAGTGTTGTACACTTTTCCCTTGCCAACAAGGTGATAATCTGATGCCATTACGTATAGTTGGCAAGATGAAATGCCCTAAACCAATATGCATACATATTACTTTTAATTCAATAATAGAAAGAGGTGGAATAAAAATGAGAAACTTGAACAATAGAGATTTATCAATATATTTATAATTACCTCAGGAAATTTATTCTGACGGTTGATACTAGCGTTGTCACTAGTTTCTTTCGCCATTGCCGCATTGCCCTTTTCCCTCATTAATACCTCTTTATCTCTTTCCAATGCATTGACTTTTGCTTGTAATTCCATAAGTACATTCATCACTTCTGCATTGGTAGGATTTCTTTTCCGATGATGCTGGTAGAAAGAGGTTGGAGTCACACCGTGACCTTTACCCCTAACCCGACCGGAATACTCAGGAACATTCAGTGCTTTACTAAGTACGCTCCTCGTATCCTGGTCGTCACCGGTGGACTCCGTTTGTGACAATGTCTCCTGAAAATAATGGAGATAAAAAAATCAATTAAATAGTCATAAAAATTTGATTTAATTAAAGACACAATGTTATACTTACGCATTCATCATAAATTCTTAGAACACTTGGATCAACAGCTTGATTCTTGCCCACACGGGCTTCCTTCCACAGCAAATGTGCTGGAAGTGAGGTTTCATCACTTTTCGTCTCCTCTAACTATGCATAGAAACAAACGGTTAGATCGTCAAATACAACACATTTAGACAATTAATAAGAACATATCATTTCTATTTATTACTTACAATTTTTTCCTCTAAGCGCGCATATCCCAAACGCCCTTTTTTGTATGGGTACGCGGGCTTTGATGCTCTCTCACTATTTTTGGCACTCTTTTGCCGGAATTCGTCATCTCTTTGTCTAATAAACTCAGTCCAATCTTCTTGTTTAATGAAAAGATTATACTTTTCTGGCCTTCCGGCCGGGAACTCTTCCAGCCACTTTCCTTTGTCATCCTTAAGATAGGTGTTCGTCAACAGATTTTTCCACCCTCTAAATCTTTTCCCGGCCAACCCAAGTATGAAGCCTTTACGCTCATCTGGAACGTTAAAAGACCGCTGCGTATAAACCATATAAACATATAAGTAATTTAAAAACCATATAAACCATATAAACATATAAGTAGTTTAAAAACCATATACACCATATAAACTTATAAACTTATAAACATATAACCATATAAACCATATAACATACATACCTTAACATCTTCCCAAAACATTTCTTTTCCTTGCTTCAATGCTTCACATTGTTTCGCATTCCATCTAGATATGGAGATTGGCACATGCATACGAACAAGTGTACCAACGTAGCTTGTGAATTTTGAAGCATTAACCCCAACTAATTGATTTGAATGATTCCAATCTACATTATATTTCACTCCCTTATCTCTAGCACGAATGATTTCGCGCATTATGGTGATGCCTCGTGCAACATCATTTGCTGAAGTATCATCCGCTGCATGATTTGTTTCTTGTGAGTTTTCATGATCTTGTTGGTTTCCTGGTGGATTTTCTTGTTGGTTTCCTTGCGGGTTTTCTTCATTGCTAGCCATTAGACCTGTAACAAAAGTCAAACAAGCACATTAGTACACTACATGAAAATGGATAGTCGAAAAAGATATGAATAGCACTAAAGGAACTCAAAATTGAATAAAATGCTAAAAAACCAAACTTGCAAGAAATAAACCTCACCATCAGCTCCGGAAACATTGTTCTACTAATTAAGCACAAGCACATTCGCAAAAATTCAAAACGGTTCAAAAGATATGCCAAAAATTCAAAACATTATTCACATATTACTTACAATATTAGGCTATAATTATAATAATACCTTTTTCACTAACGTCTCTTTCTTTTCTTGGTAGCAATATATTTTACGCTTCTATTAACAACTCGGATGGTTGGATTGATCCAAATACCCTCATTATGATCATCTCTAGTACAAGGTTCATTCTCATTTTGATCGTTTCTTGTACAAGATTCAATGCCAACGCCAATATCACCTTGATCTCCAATGTTTTCATCAATTACTTTGTTAGACAAAAGCACTATAGACCATTTCGTACTTGTCGGATCATTGACATAGAACACGTGTTTAGCCTGAGAGGCTAGAATAAAAGGTTCATCTTTGTACCCCACCCTATTGAGATCCACTTGCAAAAATCCTGACTTATCCATTCGTACGCCATTATTATTTTCAACCCACTTGCAATCAAATACAGGAATCTGAAACTTCCCGTAATCAAACAACAAAATGCGCTCGATAACCCCAAAATATGACAGATTTGCAAATATCGGGTTTAAGTCATTCGCACTTGATATGTGCATCGCTTCAGCTACCAAGGTAACACCACTATTCTGCATAGTACTTTTATCATCCTGTTCTTTGGTATAAAATGTGTATCCATTAATTGCGTATGCGCTATAAGAAAACACAATCATACTTGGACCATATGCTAAACATCTCAACCTTTCTGTTACTGAAGCAGGATCCGAACGATACTTTGAATAAATTTGTTCCTTAAACCACGGTATGAAACTTCGATTGTGCTCTCGTACTATCCAATTCTCATTTCTATTCAGATTTAAACCTCGAAGAACACCCTTGTGCATTTCAGCATACGGCTCAACCTCAATCTCATTGTGCAGAACATACAAATGCACCTGATCCCGTTCGACCATTGACACTGTCACAACTTTATTTCCAATTAGTCTTTTTCCTTCTTTTTTCTCGACAATATGAGATTTGGGGAGTCCAATTGATTGAACATTTGACAGATATTCAGTGCAAAACTCAACCGCTTCTTCAACAATGTATCGTTCCGCAATACAACCCTCCGGTCGACTTCGGTTTTTCACGTACCCTTTTAAAATTTTCATATAACGTTCAGCAGGGTACATCCATCTCATATAAGCTGGTCCGCACAACTGTGTCTCTTTGACAAGATGAACGACTAGATGAACCATTATGTCAAAAAACGAGGGAGGAAAATACATTTCAAGCTCACATAAAGTAACAACCACCTCTTTTTGCAATGTTGGTAAGATCGCAGGATCGATCACCTTGCTGCATATTGACTTGAAGAAAAAACACAACTTAGTTATTGCGCTCCTTACTTTTTCTGGCAGAATAGAACGTATACCTATTGGTAGAAAATGTTCCATTATAACATGGCAATCATGAGTCTTTAAACTCTTTAACTTTAGGTCTTTCATTGACACAAGTCTTCTAATATCTGATGAGTAGCCTTCTGGAACTTTAACTTCACTGAGGAACTTACACAATATTTTCTTCTCCTTTCTAGATAGAGTGTAAACAGCAGGTGGTAGATATGTGCGTCTTCCTTTCGTCACGGGTGCCAATTCAGTTCTAATTCCCATGTTTAACATGTCCTTCCTTATGTTAATGCCATCCTTAGACTTTCCTTGTATATTGAGTAACGTACCAATGACACTATCAAATACATTTTTTTCAATATGCATAACATCGAGGAAATGTCTTACGTACAACGACTTCCAATATGGAAGTTCAAAAAAAATCGACCTCTTCTTCCACCCACTCGTGACAAGTCTATGTGCAAAAGGCTTGCCAAACTCAGTACTCACATCTTTCACCTTTTCAAAAATCTGATCACCTGTCAACATATGTGGAGCTCTACCGTGTTCTGCCTCTCCATTGAATGCCTTTCTCCACCCACGATAGTGATGATTAGAATTTAAGAATCTACGATGACCGAGAAAAACATTCTTCTGACAAAAGTTCAATCGCATCGTATCGGTTTCATCTTCACAAACAGGACACGCTTTTTGACCCTTAATGCTGTACCCTGATAGATTTCCGTACGCCGGAAAATCATTAATTGTTCCAAACAACATCGCCCTCAAGTTGAAACTTTCTTTCCTATACCCATCGCCCTCAAGTTCAAAATCAATAATATATTTGGAAACCAAAGCATGAGTCTGAGAAAATATTAGATTGACAACTATAAGATTGTATTTGCTAGGTTAAAAGCTAATGGTGTTACTCAAACTCTATTATATTCCTTGCAGTAACTTTCATTAGATGTTTTTGTTGTATTACTCATATTAGCAATGAAATGCTTTGACTTTTATTCTGTAAAAAACAAGAAAATGTTACAAGAAGTCGTGTACATGGAAACAATTGTAACCATGAAATGATCTGTTAAGAACATTTTTGCTGCCGTCATCATTTGATTTTGTACGAGAAGAACCGGGGGATGCAATTGAACATGTATACAGTGCGAGTCAATTGTCAGAAGCAGGATTAGTATTTGAAGTAAGTGACAGTAAATGCTTACTTGACTTGAATTTTGATGACAAGGGTGTATTGAAAATTCCACGTTTTCATGTCCATGATACAACAGAGATATACATGAGGAATATATTAGCATTTGAAGAATGTCACATTTCTGATCAAGATTCCTGTTACATTTCTCAGTATTTGAGTATCTTGGATTTTCTTGTTAATACAGAAAAAGATGTGAGCATCTTGGTTGATAAGAGAATTATTGTGAATTGGATGGGTGATGCTAATAAAGTGGCTGCAATGGTTAACAATCTTTGCAAAAATGTTTCAATGCCTACACTGAATTCAAAATATATATCTATATGTTATAGGTTAAATGGTTTCTATGAAAACCCTAGCAATAAATATAAGGCTATATTTGTGCATGAGTACTTCAACACTCCTTGGAAAATAGCCTCAACTGTAACTGCTGTATTGCTGCTTTTGTTTACTTTTATCCAGGCTGTATGTTCAATCTGCTCACTTTAATAATGTATTGGAAAGGATAACTCTTATTGTCTACCAAGTTACAAGTTGATACATAATTGATGATTTTTTTTCATACCACTTTGTTTCAATTCACTTCATATTGTTCTATGTTTATCTCTTCTCATCCCACATTTCAAATTTAATATTTTGATAAAGGTGTTGCAGAAATAATAACTGGAGCATTCACTAATTATGACTAACCTTCCGTTTTCTCACATTTAATAATCACCCCACACCTTACTCTCTTGTTCCTTTTTAAGGATAGTTTTTTTATTAAAAAAAATGTTAGTATCTATTCTAAACTGGACCAAGATGCGATCCAAATTAATCCAACGACAAGCCAATTCCTCAGTCTCATTCCAATCGTTGGTGTTCCTGCCAAAAACTTCACTATGATGGACTTATAAATAGGGATCTATCCCTCCATAAAGGTGTGCATCATTCCACCTTTCACTCGCCTTATTGACACAGACTTGAGAGTTGAAGTACTTGTGTCGCGGTTGCAATTACAAGTGGGAATAGACTAGACTGATTGATGGGAGCCAACAACCAAATTTTGTTCATGTTGAACATTAAAATAGAGTTTAATCTCATAAATTTATTAGTTCCTTAATCAATTTAAACATAAGTCAGACTACTTATTTAAGTACATCAACAACCTACTCTGGCCACTATTGATCAATTTGGCAAATTAATAGGGATTCAGTAGATACAAATATGAAATTCTATACAGGTTCTTTTAGTCCCTACTAATAACATATTACTTATATCATTTTCTAGAGTGTCACTTTTGGGCACCTACGTTTAAGTGGGGCATCAGCATTGCCAATATTGCTGATTTTTCAAAACCACCTGACATGATCTCTTATCCTCAACAAATAGGTATGTGCATGCATATATATAACTATATGTAGTGTCATCTTTTGCGAACTTCTAATACGCCCTTTTGCTCATCATTCACCCTTGTGAAAATGTGTATTTCTGAATTCTCTGAAAGGAGCAGACATATGCAAGTGAATGAATTTTGTGGAATGCTGAGTATTCAAATTGCAGGCAGTTTTTAGCAAATATTCTGCTGATTCCTTTTATTTTTAACACAGCTGTTATGGCTACTGGACTAATCTGGGCGAATTACAGCACTGTAATCACTCCAGTAAGTTACATTTTTTTTCAAACACAGTTTGCTTTTAACTAGTACATGAAATGTTGAAAGCTTAATGAATGAGGATTATTTGTGGACCTTCAGTGCAAGCAAAATTTTATAGTTTCACTTCACTATCTTCATAATTTTGGTTTATAGTTTCACTTCATTATCTACATTATTTTGGTTTATAGTTACATTATCTCTCTTAAAAGAGTATGACACTCTCAACTTGTAAGATTCTGTAACATCAATTAGACTGTAACATCCTTCGCGTGATGTTTTAGTTTATAATGGCTGGAGAAAATAGGAGTAGGAACATTGACAACAACTATGCCTATATTTGGTATTAGTCTAAAACCACGGTTGCGCGGTACGATTTGACAGAAGCTAACATGTATTGCTTCAAGGACATATTTATAAAGGCTTGGTTGCGCTAATTTTGAAACATGAATGTGATTCAAACAACATTTAGAGCAAAGTTCAAACAAGCATTGATTTCAAACATGCATGTGATTCAAACAACATTTTGAAGCTAAATTAAAACATACCTTGCAAGATGAAAAGAAAAGATGATGATTCAAACTGGAGGTTCCGATTCCAATATCGGGTTTTCGATCACCAAAGTACTCTTTAAGAGCTTTATTCTTCACAACCAAGCCAGAAGAAGTAAGACAACCAGTGAAGTAGCCACCAATAGCATGCAACTCAGTCCCTATAACATCACCGACACATAGTAATACATTATATTTTCATGCTTCCCTTTAGGCTAACATAATGCTTGCAGTATGAATCTCTTATACAAAGATGATGGCACTCAGATTCACACACATGTAGATATAGAAAAGGAAATTTTGGAGTTTTATGGAGGATTAATGGGTACTAAAGAAGAGAGCCTGAACCACATTGATATTACTGATATGAGGAGGGGTCTCAGCTTACTATGGAGCAGAGGACTATGCTCACTACACATGTGAATGAGCATGAGACTAAAACTGCCCTTAAAGATATAGGTGATTTAAAAGCTCTCAGAGTTGATGGTTATGGAGCTAAGTTCTTCAAAACCAATTGGAGTATCATAAAAGATGACTTGATTGCTGCAATCAAGGAGTTATGTAAAGGTAAGAATCTTTATAGAGCTTTTAACAACATTGTGGTTACTTTGATTTCCAAACATTTTGAAGTTAAGAATATTAAGGACTATAAACATATTACTGATTGCACCACTTTCTACAAGATAATCTCCAAAATTCTTACTGCTAGACTAGGAGGGGTCCTTGGAAGTATCATAAATCAATGTCAGGCTGCTTTTGTGCCAGGCTAGAAGATCCACAATCGTATCATGTTGGCTTTTGAGCTTCTTAAGGGCTATTCTAGAAAAGGTGGGACACCTAGATGTATCATACAACTAGATTTGCAGAAGGCATATGATATGATGGACTGACATGTCTTAGAGGGTATTCTTAAGGAGATTGGTATGCCTAGAAAATTTATAAATTAGATTATGTTGACTGCGTCAACTGTTTCTTACAAGTTCAATATTAATGGAGATTATACTGATATTATAGTAGATATAAGTTTTGATAGCAACTTCGTTATTTAGACACATAAAATAAAACATAAAATAAAACACTAGTCCGAAATTCCACTTGCACGTATGTGGTTTTAGAATATGAGAGAAAAAACAATAAAAAAAAAAGTCGAATCTTCGTGTTAGATATCGCAATTTAAAACATGAATGTGATTCAAACAACATTTAGAGCAAAGTTCAAACAAGCATTGATTTCAAACATGCATGTGATTCAAACAACATTTTGAAGCTAAATTAAAACATACCTTGCAAGATGAAAAGAAAAGATGATGATTCAAACTGGAGGTTCCGATTCCAATATCGGGTTTTCGATCACCAAAGTATTCTTTAAGAGCTTTATTCTTCACAACCAAGCCAGAAGAAGTAAGACAACCAGTGAAGTAGCCACCAATAGCATGCAACTCAGTCCCACCAATAGCTCTGAAAATGCTGCCACCTTCAAAAGCAACAAGCATGAAAAAAGGAAAAAAGGCTTGAGTTTTCAAGATGACTCCATGAATGTCACAAACTATTGTTTGTGACATTCTATTTCTACCTTGTACATCACATTTTGCTATACTAGAAAACAACACTTTTCCTATGAAGAAAACAAAAAAAAAGAAAAGAAAAAAAAAACTCTCTTCCTCTTTGTTAAGCAAAGCATGACCCATATTTCTCTTCTTCTCAAATCACATATCATAATCAACAACATCAAAATTAATTCCAGGAAACAAGAAGCGATTTTTACCTGAGGCAAGATCTTAGTGGGTGGCAGCGAATGAATGGTCTCCAGCAAGTAAAGGGCGACGAGTGAAGGAGATGTCCGTGGAGCAGTGGTCGCGGTGGGTTTGAGTTCTAAAGCGGAAGGATCTAAAGCGGAGGTTCGGGTCGGAGACCGTGGCGGTTGTCCAGCACGCAAAGAGGTTGTCGGCGGAAGGAGGAGTTCGAACAGCGGCAAACGGAAGGATTGGCGGAGGAATCTTGTCGCATAAGAGAAATATTATAAAAAAATGTTGTTGTCTTTGATTATTGATGGATTTAGTGTTGTTAATGGTGCTGGAAAGTATATGTGAGTGAATGTGATATGCGGGAGAAGAAGAGCTTGTACTGTGCGTTTGAAGAAGAGAAAAGAATGAAATGTTATTTTGATGTTTTAATTTATTAAATTAAAAATAATATAAGCTATAACAGCGCTTTTGAAAGCGCTTTCATAGGGGGGCTTTTACCAGCGCTTTTTAGGGTAAAAGCGCTTTCATAGGTCCAGCTATGCCAGCGCTTTTGAAAGCGCTTTCAAAGGCCATTCTTCCACAGCGCTTTTTAAAAAGCGCCTTCATAACCCTATTATTTCATTTTTATTAATATTTTTATTTGACCTACCACAGCGCTTTTTAAAAAGCGCTTTCGTATCCCCCACCTATGCCAGCGCTTTTAAAAAAGCGCCTTCATAACCCTATTATTTCATTTTTATTAATATTTTTATTTGACCTACCACAGCGCTTTTTAAAAAGCGCTTTCGTATCCCCCACCTATGCCAGCGCTTTTAAAAAAGCGCCTTCATAACCCTATTATTTCATTTTTATTAATATTTTTATTTGACCTACCACAGCGCTTTTTAAAAAGCGCTTTCGTATCCCCCACCTATGCCAGCGCTTTTAAAAAAGCGCCTTCGTAGGTTTCCCTTTTTTTTAATTTTGTTTTTTGTGAAGGCTATGGCAGCGCTTTTTCAATAAGCGCTTTAGTAGAGGCGCTGCAAAAAGCAGTTTTTGGCGTAGTGTATGTGTCTGTGTCCAGTATTTTCTTTGTTTTCTTGTTTCCTTAAATGCAACATTTTCTTTTTCATTCTTTCACTTTTACTCTTGTTTAATGTTGTTTACTTCATTTTACCTTGTCATTTATTATAACTTAACTTCATTTGAATTTTGTTTCCACGTCGTTATCGTGAAAACAACAACTACGTTCAATTCACACACATGTGTGTTCTTACAATTCATTAGCACAAATTGCTTTGAAGATTTTTTGAGTTAATCTCACTTGCTTTCTAACCTCGTGATTGATTACCAAAAATACTGGTAAACAGCTCCATAACAATTTTCCCCTTGACCCTTGTTCCTACATCGTAGAGAGGTGGCTTTTTTTAGTTTATCTTAAGTGCAATCTCACGTGGAGGAAAAAAAAGAGAGTCTTGACATTGATGTCTTTGAAAAAGGTGTATTAAATGTCGTTCTCGCGATCAACAACATTTCACATGTACATTTCAACCTATGTCTCTATGTCCGACAATAATGATTCCTCTTAGTACATAGTCATTCGAGTGCTTTTGAACAACGTGTGGTGGAATTTTGACCATTGATGATGTGGTTTGCATTTCCCAACACCAAGGATCACATGGTTCACCTTCCTTAGAGAATATATAAGGAGTTTTAGGGTTATCATGTTCTTCTTTTTTCCATTTGTGAATCATTGAAAATTCTTCTCCTGCATCTATAACCTACTATATTTTCTCTAATCTTCTTCCATTAGTTCCTAATTCATGTTTATGCCACCTCTTTTTGTAGAACACACATTTGGGCCATTGAGTTCATATTTTCAAGGTAATGTATGAGTCTGAATTTTCTTTTGTTTTCACACTTGCTTATTTTATTAGGGTTTTTAGAGGAAAGCTTTGGATTTTTAGTCTTTTCTATTTCGTGATTTGGTGAATTATTTTGAGTGTGAATTTCCTTTTCTTTTTGCACTTTGGTGGGATGCAAAATTTGTCTTTGTGTTGACCATGTGTATTTCTTATGATCGTTTCATTTAACTACTTACAACTTTTTGACACGGAAAACTCTCAACTCAAAACCTAAAAAGAGATGAACTCTACTGTGTGGGTGGATCAAGAGATGTTGGACACTGTTGATGTCTTCATTGGTGAAGGCGACCTAGACCACACCTTTACAGAAGTTCCCTCACCTCCCCACCTCTTAGACTGAGGAGTACATTCTCTTGAAAAAAATAAGAGCATTTATAACAAATATAATGATTGTGTCACCCCTTTACACGAATGCATGTTCTCTTTGATAGACTTGCAAGTGGCCAAAATTGTATTTTTGTAAAATTTGACTACTAATTTTATATATAACTATATTTAATATTTGTTTTTAGGTAAATTAATAGTATTAGTAAAAATAGTATTTGATTAGAGAATGAATAATACTAAATGTATTTAGGAAATTTGATATTTGTTCAGTAAAGAAACTAGAAATATCTAGTGAAATGATGAAACAAAACTTTAAGTTCGTGAGACAAGCCTCTGGTTCAATACAGTAAGGGTGAATTATCAACATTAGTACTATAATGTATAAATCATTGAAAAAGATAAAAATATTTTGAGATTGAGAATAAATCAAATATCTAAAATGACAGAATCTGGTCTTTATACAATATGGACGGTTAAAACTCCTAATGTAATTTAGCATCTCGTGTGGATGATTGTTCGATTAGATATTATTGGTCAAAGATGTAATAGAAAACGCGATCGTGTGTTTTCGACAAGGGTCAAGGTCCACATGGGCAATGTGTCTTTCTCTTCCGCGTTTATCATTGAATGTTCGTGGATTTTACGGACGATCCAGTATAATATTTAAGAATCAAAATATTTTATACTACTCTGTCTTTTATTATAAGTAAATTTTATTTTTTAGATTTATTGAATAATTAGTGTATCTGATCAATATTTAGTCAGATATATTAATTATTCAATAAATCTAAAAAATAAATTTATTTTAAATATATTATAATATAGAAAAAACTAACCTATATCCTAAAGACACAAATTAATAAATTTTTTGTAGAAATATTTTCTTGAAACATGTGCATTTAATGTTTTAAAATTTTAAATATAATTTTATTATATTTAATTATATTTAAATTTTTCTAATTATAAAATTTTTAATAAGTGTCTTTAGAGCACATGTTAGTATTAGTATGACCCTTATAATATAAAATAGAGACATAAAATGATTTTAAAAAGTGGAATACAATGATAATGATGTCGTTCAAGAGTTAAACATGGTGATTTGTCTGATCTGTAATAAGGATTTAATTGCTGTATTGTTATATATTGGCATGGATTATGCCAATCTAATTTTAATAGATTCGTTTCTTTGCTTTTTTTATAAAAAAAAATACATGATGATATGATCAACTGTAAGAAGAAAAAAAACACAATGGTTGGTGTCCAAATTAAAGTAGACAAGTTGATAATCATAGCAGCGTGAATGTTGTTTTATTCTCCCTCGTGTGCTACACATTTACACTCACTACACTTATCACTTCTCAGTGTAATTAAGTGCACCTTTGACCACTCGATTTTCTCCTTTAGACCACACCATGCATGAAGCATCATGCATTTTGAGTTATCATCGATCCACAACTGATTACTCCCAATAATAATAATAATAATAATAATAATAATAATAATAATAATAATAATAATAAAATAATAATAATATATCATCATCTTTGTCTTGGTCTTAGCTGCAAACTAATGCATGTGTTTGAATATTTGGACATGCAGGAGCAAGTTGAAGCAGACAGAGATGGAATGTGAGTACATGAAGAGGTGGTTTGGATCTCTGACGGAGCAGAACCGTAGGCTTCAACGAGAAGTTGAGGAACTTAGGGCTATGAAAGTGGGCCCACTCACTGTAGTATCCCCTCACAGTTCCGAACCACTTCCAGCTTCAACGTTATCCATGTGTCCCCGATGTGAACGTGTTACCACCAACGTCGCCGCCGCCGCTATCGCCGTCGACAAAAATGTTGCCGCTGCCGTCACTTTGTCTCCTAAAGTGTCAACACTTTCTACCCAATCGCGTCAAAAATGAAACACCTTGAGCACTTTCTTCCTGCATGCGATCGTGCACGGCGCAGTAGTTAATTAGTTAATGTAAAATAAAACAAAAAAAAAGGTGTTGACGAATTAATGTATGGAAAATGTGTTTGCAAATTCTAATAAAAGTTACTGTACTATTCTTTTAATCTCATAATGGTAACTCATTTTTATTTTTCTCTTAAAATAAAATTTTAATTTACTTGTAAAAGTTTAAACATAGTAATTAATTTTATACATATAATCAATCAAAATTTTTAAACTTTCATTAAATATTTTAAAAATAAAAATATTGAATACATGTTTCTTATTAATTGATATTTTAAAATATTTTTATATTATTAATACATGTTTTTTTTTATATTAATACAATATTTATTATTTATTTTCAATTCTATATTTTATTTATTGTTCGCTCCATCTCATCTAATAATAATAAGTATGTTATTTGAATTATGGATAATTCTTACAAAAATGATTAAATATTTAATTTTAATATTAAATTTAGTATAATTTTTTAAAATATATTTATTAACTATATCATTTCATCTAGGTAAAATATGTCCCGCCCACTGAAATATCCATTTTATCCTAATTCTTTTTAGAGTGGAACAAAGTTTTAAGTATGTGTTTTCTAATGTGTTTGTCTCGATATATCGTATTTTTTTGTTGATTTTTGTTGGCGCGGATATTAACATAAATTTTTATATCTTTAGGCTTAAAAGATGTAGTTCTCGTGGACTTGCACTAGTGCAAAAAAAAAAGAATATAATTTTAAAATTTACACTTGTGATATTAAAACGGGTGTAAATAAGAAACGCGGTGACAATTTTGTAAATAAAATGTTATTTTAAGTATTAACACGTGATAATAGACACCCATTTTTTAGAAACAAATGTAAATTAAAATTATTATTATAATTAAATCTCTATTACTCTCGTTAAATTTAAAACGAGTGTAAATTTAGATAGACTAAAAAAATTTATTTATTTTTATAACTCAAAATATTAATCCTAAACACATTAACAATCCATAATTTATTTTATTAAGTGTTAATTATCTAATTAAGTAAATATTAATGGGTGTAAATTTATTAAGTGAATATTCTTTAAAAAAATAATCAAAACACATTAGCAAACTACTGCACAATCTTTTCTCTTCCATCGATCAAAACACACCATTTCTCTCATCTCTCAAATACTCATCCTCTCATCTAGGGATGGCAGAGGGTAGGAACGGATGCGGGTTTCACACTTCCCAAACTCGCATCCGAAATCACCACCAGAACCCAAACCCAAGGACTATTCGGGTGGCAAAATAACGCCCACACCCATTAGGTTCGAATTTTTCCACCCAAACCTGAACCCGCAGCAAAAACACAAAAAGTACAACAGTAACATTGAAATTTGAAACACAAGAATTCCATCAAGGCTTCTAAAAGAAATTAAGGAATTAAATTACAACTTTCCATCAAGTTTGGTAACATTACAATTAAAATTAAGGTCTTAAGTTTTTACACTTATATATATTTAGGGGTACTTATGTAGTTTAATGTCTAAGCGGGTGTGGTTTCGGGTTTCGAGTGCAGGTTTTAGTGAACCCAAACCCGCACCCAAAATATCGGGTGGCACCCGAACCCGGATCTAATCAACTCGGGTTTTTACCCGTTGATTCGGGTTTGAGTGTGGGTGGACTCGTGGGTTTGGGTCTTCATGCCATCCCTACTCTCATTGCACACCTATTATCTCTGATATTTCATCACACATCCATTCTCTCTGAAACCCAGATCTTCATCGCACATCCATTCTCACATCTCTCATGGCACGACCATTTTCCCATCTCTCATGGCACGACCAATTTATCAACGAAGGTGGGTGGCTGTGACGACTTGCACGATGAAGAAATCAGACTAATTGGTTAGGCTTTTTCTTTTATATTAGGGTTTAATATTTTGGGTAGAACATTAAGGTTTAATCTTTTAGATAGAAAATTAGGGTTTAATCCTTTTTTTTTAATGTGATCCCTTTTTCAAATTAAAAAACTAAAGGGTATGTTGGAGGTTATGGTTCGTTTGTTGATTCAATTTTGGTTTTAGGTTAAGGCGATTATGTTGATTCACTTTTCCATTTTGAGCACTCTTCTAAGTGGAGGGTGAGAAAAACAGAATAAAAACGGGTTTGAATTGGATTTTCTAATAAGTTTTTCCTTTTCTAAAGTATTTCATAAACTAACTAGAACAAATATAACTAAAGAAAGACTAAAAATGACTCTTTGGTTTATCCAGGTTCGCCTTTAACACGGTTACTCGTGTTCACCCTCCTCAGGTGATTTCACCTTCAACAAGGACTTAATCCACTAATCTCAACAGATTACAAATGATCGGGCTACCCGCCGGTGAGTAACCACAACCGTCTGTGTCCAAACTGACACCTTAGCCCTCTCAAGTCTCAGACTAATAACCTAGTCACTTGAGGCAATAATCAATTCTCAACAGAATTACAATAAATTGTGTTTACAATGTTTGCTTCTAAAAAGTAGATTAACACAACAGTGAAGAACAAAGTCTTTAAGTTGAGAAAGGCTCTTTATGGCTTAAAGCAAGCACCAAGAGCATGGTATGATAGACTTAGCAATTTTTTGTGTGAAAAAGGTTTCGAAAAGGGTAAGGTTGATAAAACCTTGTTCATTAAGAAAATCCAAAGTAACACTTTATTGGTTCAAGTCTATGTTGATGATATCATTTTTGGATCGACTAACAAAGAAATGTGTGAGGAATTCTCATTGATGATGCAAGGAGAATTCGAGATGTCTATGATGGGAAAGATGAACTACTTTCTTGGACTACAAATCAAGCAACTAGAAGATGGAATCTTCATCAACCAATCTAAGTATTGCAAAGAATTATTGAAAAAGTTTGATATGGACAATTGTAAAGCAATGAATACTCCAATGGGCTCCGGTACATATGTTGATCAAGATGAATCTGGTACTCCAATTGATATTACAAAGTACAGAGGTATGATTGGTTCTTTATTGTACTTGACGGCAAGTCGTCCTGACATCATGTTTAGTGTTTGTCTTTGCGCTCACTTTCAAGCAAATCCAAAGGAATCACACCTCATGGCAGTTAAAAGGATCATGAAGTATCTTAAAGGAACAATCAATGTCGGCCTATGGTATCCAAAAGGTAGTACTTGCACTTTAATTGGTTATTCTGACGCGGATTATGCAGGCTGTAAAACTGATCGTAAAAGCACAAGTGGTACGTGTCACATTATTGGAAATGCATTAGTATCATGGGCTTGTAAAAAGCAAGCATGTGTTGCTCTTAGCACGGCCGAAGCAAAATACATAGCAGCGGGTAGTTGTTGTGCACAAATTCTTTGGCTCAAGCAACCACTCTGTGATTACGGACTTGATCTCGGATGCATTCCTCTTCGATGCGACAATACAAGTGCTATCAATATTACAAAGAATTCGGTCATGCATTCAAGAACCAAACATATAGATATTCGACATCATTTTCTCCATGATCATGTACTTAAAGGAGATGTCGAAGTCACTTTTGTGGATACTCATAACCAACTCGCAGATATCTTCACTAAATCGCTTGCTCGAGAACCTTTCTTCAAAATCCGAAGAGAACTTGGTATTTTGGATGAAGGTGATATCTAATGTTTCTCTTAAGATACACGTCTTAATTTTTATATGTATTTATTTCACTCTTTTTCCCCATCCTTTTTGATGTTAACAAAGGGGGAGAAGAATACGCATGTGTGTTGTTTTGTTTCAAAGAAATTGCAGGCCCACATAAAATATCAAACTCACTCCAAAATTCAAAGAATCATGGACTTAGGGGGAGCATACAATTTAGGGGGAGCCTTGCATTTGCTCAACAAGTTTGCTACACAAAACAACATAAAACATTTCAAGAAATCGTTTTCAAGACTTGGTTGTCATCATCAAAAAGGGGGAGAATGTAATTGCAAGCTTCCCAAGTCATATTTAAAGCATGTGTTTTGATGAAGACAACATGGACATCAACATTCAAAGGATGTGCAAAAATCTTATCAACATCAAATAAAAGTCTTGAAGATTATTGAAGAATTATTGAAGAATTATTGAAGAATCATCAAATGTCAAATATGGTATAAATAATTCTTAAAATCTTGAATATAGATGTTCACAATATGCATTCATCAACATATACATATTCCATAACTTTAAGATCAAGAAAACTTTGTTTGAAATATCTTTCAAAAAGCATTTTTGAAAATAACCCTTTAGGAACCGGTTCCTCCCTAACAGGGAACCGGGTTCCAGAATTTCTCAAAAAACATGTCCCTGGATTTTGTACCAGGAACCGGGTTGTACCAATAGGGGAACTGGTTCCTGCATGATATTTTTGAATTCCAACTTATAACGTTCACTAAGAACCGGGTTCTGTCAGTGTCGGAACCGGTTCCTAGCGAACCAGTGCAACTTTTACTTTGTTTTTTGAACATTTTTCAAGTGGTATCTTTTCATGAATGCATTGCAACTTTTCATATGAATTGGCATGAATGAAGAGGTTCTTGTAACTTTATAAAATGCAGATTTTCTTATTTCAAACAATGCTTCAATTTTCAAATTAAAAATATACTTCTTCAATAAAAAATTTTCTCATTCATTCACATTTTAATTCATACTTTCATGTGTTCATAATTTTGTGAAACTTGCCATATACACTTTCATTATCATTACAAGTTTCATTCATACATTGTGAACATTTATATACATTGTTGAGAATTGTTTTTATCTTGAAGAAGAAGATCAATTGAAGATTGATAAAGCTCTCCATATACTTCAAAATAAATCATTGTATTACTTAAAGGTTTTTCCCTTACTATCCAGGATTGTTGGAAGTAAGTGTTGTGATTTGAAGAGGATTGTTCTTCATTCACATTAGTGTTTTTTTGGTCTTAAAGGTGTTAAGAACCTTTGATCACCCTATAG